GCAAACAATCGGCAGCACCTCTGTGTCTCTTTATTAATGAAAGCATAGGTTGGCGGAAAGTGTATTTTCTGCTATCCCTTTGTGACTCTGATCATCTTAGCCGTCAGGAGAACGGACATAAAAGCGCTTAGTGCATCCTCCCAACTATGTTGTCAAAATAAATGTTTTTTGAACTGTGACTTGACATGCTGCAGAATTCAAACGCTAACTACAAAGGGTCTCGGTGCGAATGCGGGTGTGAAGTCTTTGACGTTCCAGCAACGACAGAGTCTGCATCATTCTCTTTCAACTCGCGTGGTGTGCAGGGCCATATTGAACTTAGTTAAAATAATATCCCATTCACTGGAAAAATCGTTAAATAGTCTTAAGATTTTGAATAAATGTAAAATCAGACAGTGTTTCATTTTAGTGCAGTTGTAATATCTGCTCAAAATTTCAGTGTTTTCATTTGTAGGTTTGGCGAAGTGATACACATCAACTTGCTGCGTCATGCGGATACGGGGAAAATCTCGAGGTTTTTGCTTTCTGTGCTATCAAGATCAAAGGAGTACTGTTCTTGCTGTTGATAACTTCAACGGGATCACCGTAAGTTTGAAGTTTGAATGTTGGTAAACAGATTCAGCATCCCGTGTTTTACAGTTGTTGAAGCGGATGATACGAGTGGATCACGTCGAACAGTACAAAGTGCCTAAATATAAGGAAAACGCAGACGAAGAAACCAAGCGATTATGGGAGGAAGGTTGCGCTCCTAAGCCTATTCAAATAACTGAAGCTGGTATGTGGATGACGTTATGCAGTTGTTTTGAAGGCATCATTCACTTTCAAGTAGTTTAGACATTTATGAAATATAAACTTTTTATGCTCAAAAAATAGCGACAAATTTCCATTTATTCTGAATGTTCGCCATGAACGAAGTAACAGTCGAATTGATAGTAAGAGGCCACACGTTTCGACAGTGTTCTAGTTTAGAGTCCGTTTTCCCTAATACTGTTCATAAATTTAATATTCTTGGGCCTATTTAATTCTTGTATAATCGTGCTAGGTCTGCTGCACAAGAGTTCTTAGCTTAAAAAAACTACCAATGTTTCATCGTAAAACTGTAATTTCGTTGCTTACCGTCTTTTCCAGGCGCCAATTTCTCTTTCCAAACCTGGGTAGACCCTAGCTGTTGCGGTGTGGCTACTCTATCCAGAGCTGATGCCGCGGGAGAGCTTTCTTCTGGCAATGGTGTAAGCACCGAAATCTTCGCAGGCATACCCGAGCATTAAGGACTTCTGGGATTTTTGTACAGTTGTATGTAGACAGACAGTTGGGAGCCAGTTTGATGCTTATAACCACATCGCATTCCTCTTTCTAGCCAACCCAAGTGCCTTGGTGGGTCTACTGAAACACAGAAAAAGTTTTCCTCACCCTTTCAAAGGAGTTGTACATTTGACTCCTTCACTGTATGCGGTTCCGGTCCAAATGCCACTATTCTCCTACATTCTTAGTCTTTACACTACTATTCAATGAGTATTCCGTCGACGCGGTACCGGTTAGGAACAAATGACTGGATTGATTCCTATACTTTCACTAGGGATGTCGCGGTGGATGTGGTGTTGTCGAGAGTCCGCTTTGTAATAGAGACGTGAGACCACATAGTGTGGCGTATTTTCAGACGGTTTGATTTTCGAAGACTGCATTCAAATTTGCAGGGATATAGGCGGATTCTGTGTGGAAGGGTTATGATGGGGGTCGTTTTGGTGTGTGTGGTGAAGCGGTGTTCCGTTTGGTCTCGGGTGTGGCAGTTGAGCGGGCATGGAGAACCGGAGGATGCACGCAAAAGAAAAATCAAGGGGGCGGTGCGCGGTTTGGCCAAGGTAAGAGCATCTGTTCATGGGCACACGATGAAGGTTCGGATCCCGAGAGTGTGGTTTGTTTTGCATTCCGTGGAGGACGTCCTACGACTATGATAAGCACTTCAAGCGTTGATGTGACCACATTTTTCAACTGGGGCTGGGCGATCAGTGTGATATACATCTTATAGTTATGGGAATTACATTCTTCAAATCATACACGATAATAATGCTATCGCCAACAAAAACTGACTCCTTCACCTCATGAGCAAATATGATACCCTAATACAAAGTGGTCAAAACAGAGAAGTTGCTCACAATGAGAACAACGAATAAAAAAGATCTTGTCGCATCCCGTAATGTCACAGACGCTAACTACTTGGGATGGAAAACAAAATTCTGCTGCTGCTGGCGTCTCAAAAGTACCTGGATGAGTGCTCAAGTAACCCGCGGCGTACCAGGAGTATAGCAGGAAGTTCCTAAACCTGGGTGCACAAAATTGGAAATACACGAGCGAAAGTAGCCGTAATATGGAATCGCGCGGGCGTATACATGAAAATTGATATCATGGGCTATGACATGCGCCGTGATCCGTTTGTACATTGCCTTGAATGGCATAAAAAAATAGACATCTAGCGGTTGTATCTGACTAGTTGCTCCAGGAGGGATGTTGAAGATCTCAATCTGCTTCTGTGGTGGTAAGACGGAGCGGATGGCCTCGTGATCCTTTGCGAAGTCCTAGAAATCAACCATTTTTTTTCTTCATCACAGTCATTTTTTGCATAGCATTATTATCGTGTATGATTTGAAGAATGTAATTCCCATAACTATAAGATGTATATCACACTGATCGCCCAGCCCCAGTTGAAAAATGTGGTCACATCAACGCTTGAAGTGCTTATCATAGTCGTAGGACGTCCTCCACGGAATGCAAAACGAACCACAGTCTCGGGATCCGAACCTTCATCGTGTGCCCATGAACCTAGACTCTTACCTCTGTGCCACCGCCGCCGTTGGATGAGGCGCTGCATCCCGGTTACTCATGCCCGCTGGCTGGCAACTGCCGCCGACCCCGCGCCGCTTCAGCCAAACGACCCGTCATAACTCCGTTCACAGAATCGCTTTGCAAATTTGGAATGCAGATTTGAAATCAGCGTCTGAAAATACGTCTAGTGGTCTAGGTCTCATTACAAACGGCCACTTCGACCTGACGACCATCCCTACCCTTAGATCACTCGCTCCAAAACACGTGTAAGGACCGATAAGCCATCAAAGGGTGCGGTAGCACTCAAGATGATCATAGGAAGTATACAGAAAAGTATAAAGGGATAAACTGCTCGATGTATGGCATGTTCACTTGTTTTTTTATAGGATTTGTTCTTGTTCCACTGATCTTTGAAGAATGAGTGAGAAGAGGTGCAATTGAGTTATTGTGGGAAAGATACCAATAATGCAGAAAACCTTTCGGTTTTGCAATACCTCAGAACTATTGTTATTTTCCGTGTTGGAGCACAAGTTTGGGAGCACGAAAACTGCCAACTTATTTCATGTCAATACGAGCTGCACCATATGCAGCATCCATTTGAATAGAGCGGCAACATAGTTTGATGCACATGGTACAGCACTCGGAATCCTACTTCTTATGCCGGAAAGTAACTGGGATAATGACGTTCTTTCGAACTCGTCCGCTATGAGCCACTGGTGGCTCACATTGTACCTCGTGAACCACTTTTTTGCTCTTTCAAATCTCGCAAAATGACTGGGCAATCTTGAACGGAGTGCTATTCCTACCATCGTTGACCACACTGGACCCCATCTCAAGTTCTGCCTCCTTCGATCACGCCCACTTTTCGGCGCGATCATGACTTTTCAATTTTCACACTATTACTTCGGCTTCTGCGGTTTTTTTTTGCTTTTTTCTGCTATTTCACAATCACAGAGTAGTTCATAGACGGCCATAGCCACACCAACAACACACTTCCAAGATGGGAGCTCTTTAGAGCTCTACTAAGGCCTAGCCCAGGAGGGTGTGATTTCTTCCCCCATGCTCAGCCTTGCAGGGACAACCGTAGCGCTTTATGTAAGCTAGCGCCGCAAATGAACGCTATGTTTCTTATCAGGATACCATATATGCGCAGTGCACACGTTTACGTCGATTTTGGCTTAGAAAGCTTATGGCGCCGGCTTGACGCCCACTGGTGCCTCACAGCGCCAGCACTAAAAAGGAAGATCATTTTTGTAATGTGTATGCCAAATAACCCAAGTATAGGAGTTTACATAGAATTCAGTAACAGAAGATCTAGTGGGCCAAATTGGCACCATATAGCGCCAACACTATAAAGGGATAAGGTACCTGCAATATGATGTCAAATAACCCAGGTATAGGAGTTTATGTCGAATTCGGTGCCAAAAAGATTGCTCGCGCTAAAGTGGCGCTTATTGGCGCCACATGGCGCCGACGACGAATACGCTGTGATAGTTCTAATCAGAGCCCCGAGCTGTCCCCACAGTCAAGGTTTTATCAGAAAGCAATTATTTTGGAGGTTTCTGGTTCGCTGAAAAAAAAATTCAGTTCCCAGTTTGAAAGGTAACATTGTTCTCGCTTGTCCCTGTTTGAGGTTAACTTTTCACAAGTCATTAGAATACAAGAGAATGATCGATAGTAACTGTCGTCAATAACCTACCCAAGTGGTGCCAAAGGTTGTGAGCCACCGGTGGCTCTTTTGTCGCACGTGGCCACTCGCTTATGAGTCAACGGTGGCTCATAATGCATCAGCGTGTCAAACACCAATATGTTTTCAATGATTCGGTGTTTTTTTTCTGCTCTCGAGTGAGTTGGAGACATTTACAGACATGGTTGAATCAGATCCAGAAGAAGAGGAGAAAGCAAAGGCCAAGGTGCTCTCATTGAAGGTAAGCTTCTTCAGATTCAATTTCAATTTGAGTAGATCTTGGGGAATAGAAGGATTATTGAAGGGGAGGGGCTAGGATTTCATCCTTGGGAAAATCCCGTGGTAGAGAAGTATCGCTCAGCGCCGGCTTTGAGTAGATCTTGGGGAATAG